TTGAGGAGGGCTCACTCATCTGTGGGATGAGCTGGTCTTCTCTGGGCCAGGCCCCTCCGCTGTCCTGCAGACCCTGGTGGTAGCCATCCTGCCTGATGGCCATCTGGCTGACTCACGTTTCCAGGTGGGCACTTTCTCCACTTCCAGAAGCCACACTAGCCCCATGGGATTCCCCCTCCCCCAGTTTTGTGCCACCTCCCTAAAGCTCACTGTGTTCACCGAGTGTGTTTGAACCATACATATCTTTGTGCAAGGCCTCATGCAAAGCTTGAAACATCCTGGTTTGTGGAGGACCAGGAAACCAAAGTCTGACAAGGCAGGGTCTCTCTGAGCCCACCTGGCCAGCCTCAGCCTCAGAGCCCCATCCAGGTTGGCCCACCCGCTTCTCTGCCATAACACCTTGCAAGGGCTCCCATGGTAATGGAGACACTAGGAGAGAACAAGGCTGGCATAGACCTCCACTCCTGAGAAGCCCTAATGGGGGCATCTTCCAGGGGCCCCTCCCACCTGCCCTGGCTCTAGTCAGAAGCTGTGGGTACATGGATAGCAGGGCTGACCCAGGTCCTGTGCAGGTATCAAGCTGGTGCAGGGCCCTTTCAGGGGTAGGAATGAGAGACCTGTTCATTCCAAAGTGCCAAGGGAACTACCAGCAGCTACGATCAACCTCTACGTGATGCTTTCTGCCGGCACTCTGTGGCACCTTGGTTCTGGCCCTTGTCGTTGGCTGGGTAAACTCATGGTCTGGGTTCCTGGGGTCCCCTCACCGCAGGTAGAGGAGCCTTTGGGGCAGGACTATGTGTGACTCCCCCTTCCTTTCCAGGTCATGGGTTCAAAGACCTCCCCAGGGCTGGGCTCGGTGGCTCAGCCTGTAATCCCGCGCTTTGGGAGGCCGTGGTGAGTGGAATGCCTGAGCCCACGAGTTCAAGACCAGCCCGGGCAACTTGGCGAGACCTCATCTCTACAATAAATCAAAAAATCAGCCGGGCATGGTAGCACACGCCTGTAGTTCCAGCTACTTGGAAGGCTGAGGTGGAAGAATTGCTGGAGCCCAGCAGGTCGAGGCTGTGATGGCCGGAAGTGGCCACTGCACTCTAGTCTGGGCGACAGAGTGAGACTCCAACTCAAAAAAAAACCTCCCCAGGTTCTACTGCCCCCAGATCTCTCTTGTGTGATGGTAGGCCCAGGAGCTCCTGAAGCTTTCTAGGTTAAGGCCTTTGCTTACCCCGGTGTCTTCCAGGAGATCGCCAAACCTATCCCATTCCACAGTCCACCCACAGGCCTTTGAGGAGTCTGTGCCCCAGACCTCCCCAGCTGGGACAGCCTCCCCTCGGAATCTGCCTTGCCCCAGGGACCCCACCCCCTCTGGCAGATCCCAGGCCCAGTGGCTCTGACTCACTAAAGATCATTCCCCACACCCCCTGGTCTCTGTGGGGGATGGGAGTTGGTCCTTGCCCCCCACAGTCTGCATTTCCACCCATGACCCCTACCCTGTCCTCCTTCCTCTGGGGCTATCTCATCTCCTCACACTGGTAACTGCCTAAATGTCTAGATTAATTTCTAAACATGAATTTTCTTTTCCTTTTTGAGTAGGAGTCTCACTCTGTTGCCCAGGCTGGAGTGCAGTGGCACGCTCACAACCACTGCAGCCTCGACCTGCTGGGTTCAGGTGATCCTTCCGCCTCAGTCTTCCAAGTAGTTGGAACCACAGGTGCACGCCACCACACCCAACCAATTTTTTTATTTATTGTAGAGACGAGTTCTCACCAAGTTGCCCAGGCTAGTCTCAAACCCCTGGACTCAGGTAATCCTCTCGACTCCACCTCTCAAAGTGCTGGGATTACAGGCATGAGCTACTGTGCCTAGCAACATTAATTTATTTTTTTATTTTATTTTTTGAGTTGGAGTCTCACTCCATCGCCCAGGCTGGAGTGCAATGGCATGCTTGCAGCTACCCCAGTGTCAACCCACTGGGCTCACGTGATCCTTCTGCCTCAGCCTTCCAAATAGCCGGAACTACAGGCATGTATTACCACGCCTAGCTAATTTTTTGATTTATTGTAGAGATGAGGTCTCGCCAAGTCGCCTAGGTTGGTCTCGAGCCCGTGGACTCAGGCAGTCCTCTTTCCTTGGCCTCCCAAAGTGCTGGAATTACAGGTTTGAGCCCCCATGCCCGGATGAACATTAAATACCAAATTTGGATTGCTTCTTAACTTTTCCCAAAGACCAGAGTTTCTCTTAGGACGGATGATACCTCCAGCCCTCAGGAGGGAGACTAGCCCCCACTCTGTGGGGTTAAAGGTGCCCAGCAAAGCACTATGGGAGGGCCACCCCACAGTGCTGGGTCATCCCCAGAGCCAGGGCTGAGCACCCCCACCTCTGCGGGCTGTGTGAACACATACATACAGGATTGGGTCTTGTCCCTTCTCTACCTCTCTGCACTGTGAGCACTTAGCTCCTGTTCCTCCCTCTCCCAAGCGTGGTTCCCAGCCCCACAGGATGAGACAACAGCACTGGAGCCGGAGGGGCGGCAGAGACTGGGGACCCCTTAGCCGCACCTAAATCCCTGTCTGTCATGATCTAGCTGTGTGTGCTGGGGGAGGCTCTTGGCCTTGGTTTCTTCCTCTGAATGAGACTGGTACCCGCCCCATGGAGAGGCTGGAGGCTGCTGTGAGCGTGGGAAGCACCTGGAGCAGAGCCCAGTCCCAGTGAGCGCGGACAGAGGACAAGGGTTTTCCTAGACTTTATGCACATTGGGTGGGGAGCTGGGCTCTCTGACATGAGTGACAACGGGTCGTCCCCACCCACTTCTGTCCCAGCCCTGAGAGTCCAGTCTTTGGGTGCTGTGTGACCTTAGGCAGGTGCCTTGCCCTCTCTGGCTCCAGGTTCCTGGGAAAGTCTGGGATGTTGGGGCCCCAGATTCACTCCTCAGTGTTGAGACGCTCACTGTGGAAGCCCTGGGTGAGGTGAAGGAGGGCAGAGAGACAGGGTTGGAGTTTGGGTTTCCAGGGAGAAAGCAGCAGCCTGAGGGTCACCTGGGGGTGGAGAAAGGGGACCAAAGCCAGCAGTCAGGCATAATTGAATGCACCCAGAGTGGTGCTGCCTGCCCTTCCCTCCACCTGGGCCTGGCGTAGAGGGGAAAGAAAGGCCAAGGGCAAAGGAGAAACGGAGGTGGGTCCCCATGGGTCCCACGCCTCTTCCAGGGCCTGGAGGTACCACTGATCGGGTCCCCATGAGGTGGGAGCTGGGGAAGCAAGTGCCCCCCCCCCACCACATGTCCAGGCTTTCGCCCCAGGCCTCCTGGCTTCCCGCATCATTTCTTCGGGTCCTGGGAGCAAACAGCCACAGGCTGGGGCAGGCGGGGCCGGCTTGGAGGAGTCTGCTCTGCCTCCCAGAGTGCTGCTCACAGAGGAGGGGCTGAGCCTGTTTGGTAGGCTGACTCCACCACCCGGCAGTAGCCACCCACACCCCTGGGAAGTGTCTGCTGGAGGCCTTGGCACTAGGGGGCAGGCCCACCCACAGAACTAACACCCAGGGGTCAGGAAGAACGGACTGCTGCCTGCTTGTCTGGAGAAGGTCCTGTGCTTCACCATGCACTGCTCCTCCAGGGACGGGGCCTCAGGTTCCTCCGGCTGAGCCTCCCGAAACAGGCCCTCCACTTCAACACCTTGGCAAGAAGGTGGGGGGTGGTTACTGGGAGCAGACCAGGCCCCCCCAGCCAGAAACTGCTCAGCTCCAGCTGGAGGGGGAGGCGACCCTGGACTCGGGGGGGGGGAGTGAAAAAGGGGTCTACAAGCCCCTCAGCTTGACTCCAAGGGCAAAGGGGTCAAAGGTTCAGTCTGCCCCCCAGGAAGAATCCCCCAGCTCAGTCAGACACTTACCAGGACAAGGATGAGTGAGACCAGCAAGAGGCTCGGAACGAGGAGTGCCACAGCGTAGCCAGGGATGGTGGCGTTAGGCTGGCCTGGGGCCCCGGGGTGGGGGTGTCTGGTGCAGGGTGGGAAGACCAGGGCCGGTGGGTTCACCTTCCAGAGCACAGGGTCCTGACCCTGCAGAAACAGGGAGCTGAGAGAGGAAGCACCTTGGAGGGCTCCGAGGTGGAGGGCGGGCAGGCAGGCCGGCCAGGGGAGACAAGTTTCAGACCCACTGGGCAAGGGCAGCAGGCCCAAGGGAGGAGGCAGATGGGTGGAGGACACAGACAGGAAGAAGAGGTCGGCAGAGGGAAGGAGGGAGCACTGACCGAGCTCTGGGATGATCATCTCTACCAAGAGGTCCTCAGCCGCCTGCAGGGCGTGCAGACCCTGGCACACGCAGTCCTGCACGAGGCCCTGGGCCGGCACAGCCCCTCAAAAGCTGGCATCCACTCTGGCGGTCAGTGGGTCTGACCTGGCGGAAGGGTCATCATGGGCTTCAGGGGGCTGGGCAGGCTGGGGGTCTTGGGGAGGTCATCTCTTCCAACCTCCTGTCCTCACCCCCAGAGCTGGCCCTGAGCCCTGGGTCACCCAGAGCCTCCAAGAACTCACTGGAATTCCTCCACCATCACCCGGTCAAAGTTCTGCAGTGAGCCGGGCTCGGTGGCTCAGCCTGTAATCCCGCGCCTTGGGAGGCTGAGGTGAGTGGATTGCCTGAGCCTGCAGGTTCGAGACCCGCCTGGGCAACTTGGTGAGACCTCATCTCTACAATAAATCAAAAATTAGCCAGGTGTGGTATCGCGCGTCTGTAGTTCCAGCTCCAGCTGCTTGGAAGGCTGAGGCAGAAGGATCGCCAGAGTCCGGCAGGTCGAGGCTGCGATAGCCAGAAGTATTCCACTGCGCTCCAGTCTGGGTGACAGAGTGAGACTCCAACTCAAAAGTTCTGCAGTGCTCTGAGGGCGGTGGTCAGCTGAGGTCAGGAGAGGACGAAGAGGGTCATGGCTCCACCAAAGTCTTGTCCATTTGTCCCCCACACCACCTCCAAGGCCTGCAGTCTTCTTCTCCCCCCAACTTTCCCATCCACCTGTCCCATCACTTCACCCATCTCGTCAGCTGCCCCTGAAGCTCCCAGAACTCGGGACTTGTTCTGTCCATCAAGGCCTTGGTGAAGGGCTGGCCCAGGATCTGCAGCTGTATCTCATACAATGCCAGCTCCGCCTTCTCCCCTAGCGTGATGGGGTAGGGGATGGCATCAGCCGTCAGCAAACTTTAGTCCAAGGACCAGATCCCTTGCGCCTATTTCTGACTTTTTTTGGTTTTGGGTCTCATTGTGTTACCTAGGCTGGTCTCAAACTCCTGGCCTTAAGCAATTCACCTGCCTTGGCCTCCTCAAATGCTGAGATTACAGGCATGACCCACCATGCTGGGTTACTGCCTGCTTTTGTATGACTCATGAGCCAAGAACAACATTTGTTTTTTTTTTTTGAGTTGGAGTCTTACTCAGTTGCCCAGACTGGAGTGCAGTGGCCGCTCCCGGCCACTGCAGCCTCAACCTGCTGGGCTCTGGCGATCCTTCTGCCTCAGCCTTCCAAGTAGCTGGAATTACAGGCATGTGCTACCACGCCCGGCTGATTTTTTGATTTATTGTAGAGATGAGATCTTGCTGCCCAGGCGGGTCTCGAACCCACGGGCTCAGGCAATCCACTCACCTCAGCCTCTCAAAGGCGCAGGATTACAGGCTGAGCTACCGAGCCTGGCTCATTTTTTTTTTTGGAATCTCACCCAGGCTAGAGTGCAGTGGCACACTCCCAGTCACTGCAGCCTTGACTTGCTGGGTTCAGGTGATCCTTCTATCTCAGTCTTCCAAGTAGCTGGAACTACAGGTGCACGCCACCACATCTGGCTAATTTTTTGGTTTATTGTAGAGACAATATCTTGTCAAATTGCCCAGCCCAGTCTCAAACCCCTGGGCTCAGGTAATCTTCTCGCCTCCACAACTTTTTTTTTTTTTTTTTTGAGTCAGAATCTCACTCTGTTGCCCATGCTAGAGTGCAGTGGCACGATTGTGGCTCACTGCAGCCTCAAATTCCTGATCTCAAGCAATCCTCCTGCCTCAGTCTCTGAGTAGCTGGAACTACAGGCGTGCACCACGACACCCAGCTAACTTTTGAACTTTTTGGTAGAGATGAGGTCTCACTATGTTGCCCAGGCTGGTCTCAAACTGCTGGGCTCAAGTGATCTTCCCACCTCAGCCTCCCAAAGTACTGAAATTATAGGCATGAGCCACCACACCTGACCAAGAACAACTTTTATATGTTGAAATGATTGAAAAATGTCAGAGTAGAATATTGAAAATGATTCAATATGTAGAATTATGTACATGTGGAAATTATATGATACACCGATTTCCATGTCCACAAATAAAGGTTTACGGGAACACCACCATGCTCACCTGTTGATACATGGTCTGCAGTTACTTTCTGGGTATCAGAGAGGAGTTGAGTGGTTGAGACAGAGACCCTGACAGCACACAGAGCCTACAAGATTTCCTCCTCTGGTCCTTCACAGAGAACATTTGCTGACCCTGTGCTAATCTCTCTAGTGAAATAATGAAACCCACCTGGTTCACTCCGAGAGTTGTCATGAGTACAGGAGGAAATCTTGCTGCTATTCTAATGTGCGCTGTCTGGGTTTTATTTTTACCTGTCCCTGCTCTGGTGGGAGAAATGTAGGAAAATTTACTCCCTGGTAGGAGGTCATGGGAGGGGCCTGTGGCCATCAACAGGGCCGCCATCTTTTTTTTTTTTTTTTTTTTTTT